AGTACTGCAGCCAGAGAAGACAGGATGAGGCCAGGCAGGCCCAGAATAGAGTGAGATCAGAGGCTCTGAGAAAGCCTCTGTCTTGACTCCAGGTTTCATATTTCCATTCTATGTTTTTTCTGTTGTTGTTTTTTCCCTCAGTTTAAATAAAAGTCCATCTCTTCAAGGGACTGAAAACAGTGAAAGGAGAATCAGAAAAAAAATGGTTTCTCTGCCAATGAGATTTTGTAGTCTGCTGACGGCAAGAGGAAGTAAACATAGGGAAAAAGCTAAAGAACACAAAAACCACTTAGAATATGCTGATTGGGTGAACTTTCCACCTAAGGCAACAACAAGCTTACTGAATTATTCATATTTTCTTACTTTTGGTTTGAGAAAACCAATACAGATGAATTTTGAGCAAAATCTAATGTGCTAAATCAATACCTTTACCTTTCTTTGTATAGGAAAGGAAAGAAAATGCTTCCTATTGAGCAGATATGTGGTCAGTTCCCTGTCTTTGGGAAGATTCGTAGATGTTGTGAAGATACTAAGCAAACATTAGTGAAGGAAGTGTTTTTCTAATTTCCCAGAAGAAGGCATGATGTGAGGCTTAGCTCCTGCTGGAGCAAGATGTTATTTGAGACATCTGTCTCATGACTTCCTCTTTTTCTATTTGACCCTAAAGATTTCTTAATGCTCAGTATGCTCTGAATGGCTGGAAGTCAAAAAAGCTTTTCGGTACCCTCCTTCTGTAGTTTCATATGTCACCATTATTCACTGTAGTTTTTAGATGAAAACTTAATAAATTTGTCAGTCTAAAAATCATAAAGCATATGATAGCATAACATAGTCACTTTACTATTTAACATGAAACATATTGTGTCTGCCTTCTATTTTGAAGTTTGTTAATGGATCTAAATTTCAGGAATTAAGTCAGGAGGGTGGTTATTTGGAAGCACAATAAAGAACCTGAGACTAGATAGTACACTTGTAAGTGTGGGGAAAAGGGGGGTTATAGTTAGAACAGTTTCACCCATGGTTGTTTTCCTTTCTATCTTTCCTTTAATACTTTCGTATTATTAAATCTAAATAATGATTTCACTTCAATAATTAGGTTTGCTTATGACTTTTCCCATGTCCTTCCATGTTGTCCTGTAATGTCTGTCTGAATTTCTATCCTGATGTAGAATATTGTGTAGGGACAGGACTAACAGCTATAGTAATGTCCCATCCCAGTCTTTTGTTCTACTTAATTTTGGTCACCTTTCTCAAGCAGCTTTATTGCTCCAGAGACTTCTGAAATTGTAATGGAAACCACTGTAGGCAAATAATATCGATCCCCTGGCATTTGCAGAGGGATTAACCTCTTAAGTAAATAGAGATAATAAAACAAAATTCAGTTTTCTCTCTTTATTGCTGAGATAGATAGGTTTTTTTTTTTTTTTTTTGTATCATAGCACAGGGAAGGTATCCCAGGCTATTTTTTGGGGTGATACACAAATGCAGGACAAAGGCCCTATCCTCATCTCAAAGAAGTTAAAGCCATAGAGTAAAATACAGTTAGGAAAGAATACGTGGAAACAATGACTTTGTGATGATCAGTGAGGTGGCTTGGTTGTAAGCTGTCTACAGGCATCACTCAAAGCGAGATTTGACAACAGACAATAAGACAGCTAAACAGATTTTTGTAAGGAGCTTTTCCCACAATGAGGGCTCTGATCAGAAAGGAGATTCTTGGAAGGGTAGGGGTCAGAAATTGAATTTTCAACGTGGAATGAAGAGAAAAGAAAATAACAACTGTCGGAGAACAACAGGAGACAAGCACATCCGATGATGATCAACAAGTCTCAGTTTATTCAGAATTATCTTATTACTTATATAACAGAGTTAATTAGTTCATACATATTGCAAAAGCCAAGCTCCTTATAGGTGGATACAGTAGAGGGTTATGTATCTTTTTCCAAGACATTAGTAGCAAGTCATGTACCTTTCCCAGGACACTAGTAGCAAGTCATGTACCTTTCTCAAGACACTAGTATCTACATTATTTTTCTAGTTTCTAAACCAAGGTCCTACATTCTGTGTCTAACTGCATTTAAGCAGGTCTTGTGATCTTGTCGTCATGCCCCTTGTCACGTAGCCAGTATTCAATAATATCTTCCACAAACAACCATGGGAAGCTTTGAAAATGAGGACAATTAAAAATACACAAAGAGAAAAGTTGCAGAATCATCTTAGACACAGGCAGCGAGGTACTTTTTGTGAAGGCTAGTAAAAATGGTGGTGCAGTAACTGATGTGTAAAATAGCAACATTAATATATGCTCGGATCATGTGTTAGAAAGATTATATAAATGACTATAGTTTTTTTCAGGAAGAGAAAAGTTGAAATTGAGACTTGGTGACTAGACGGAAGAGTATATGGGTTGCAGGTGACCGCTAAGCACAGAGACTCTAATCATTTCAAACATCCCTTTGGATCCCATTCATTCTCTCGCCCCTCATGGGATTCCCTAACTCACTGGGATTAGAGCTTTGTATTGGTCAGCAGAAAGAAAGACAGTGCTCCCACACATGTCAGAACAACCCAGCAAAGGGTGGTTTAGCATGAGAGACTGAGTTGAGACACCTGGTTGGTGCAGAACAGCAAGGCTTAGTGGCTGCTGGTCTGGGAAAGAGAGTAGGGGCACCCACCTACCATACGCCTTCCCATGGCCAGGTGCAGCATGAGCTGGAAAAGAGGCTAAGTTGAGGGGAAATAAAGGACAGGTGCAAATAAAAGGAATGAGCGGAGACAACACTTACCGCACTGGTATATGGGAGTGAACTCTCTATGCTAATATTTGCTGCTGCCCCACACATCGTTTCTTCCCTCCTCCTGAACAATCTTAACAGCTAAACTTACCATGTAGCCTGGGACATTATCTCCTCATTGTCCCTGTGAGTACAAAAGCCTTATCTTCTGCTCCCAGCTGGATGTTCAAAAAAGCAGATATGAACTGTCATTATTAAAATTCCAGTATGTCATGATTTTTGAGATAGAACAGAGAGAAAGGACAGAGAAGTCCAGAGGAAAAGCGCATGTGAAGACTTTGCAAAGCTTTGATGTAGATTCATGGTAAGAACACAACACTTTTAAATTTCAATAGACAAGTTTATATCATCTGGTAGCCTGCAAGCTGCCCTTTGACCCAAGGATGTGTGGTTTTACATTACATTCAGCAGTCCACACCAACCCAGAATCACTTACCATACATGTAGGCTGCTTTTGCTCTGGCTGCATATGATTAATTTGGCTTTCATGTTCATTTGTCTTTATTTTTTCCATAATTCTGGAAAGTGCTATAATTCTGCCCTTTTCTTTGGTATTTGAATCATTTACTTACTTGTATCAGAAAAAAAATCTCTACAGAGTGCCATTTGTGAGGGCTGGGAACTCTCTTCTATCATGGAAACTGTTGTCCAGTTTTATGCTGAATGTGGTTGGTTTTGCATTTTGTATATGAAGCCACAAGTTCAGGGAATCGTCACTACCTCAGTTACTACAAACAAAACCGATATTTTTTATATGCTATATTATTTGGTGGTCATACCACCACTTCTATTTCTGAAGCACAGTTTGCTGCCGTCTTTTGTTCTCTGTAATATGAACCCCATTTCTCCCATTTGACTCCCTTAGGATACATTGCCTAAATAGTATGTCTAGTAAATATTTGCAATGTATATAACTGATATGCCTTTCCTAGTAACATTCAGTTTGGTTATTCAGACACCACTGAGAAATGAACTGATGTTTTCATGGAAATATTTAACTTCCAGAACTCACTCTTTGGTAGTAAATTTTGGCTCAGAGCCCATCATTTTATATGCATACATACAAACATACATACAAATTATATACCCATTGTATGTTTCAAATAGATGTATGTATATATGTAATACGACTTTTTTCACGTG